TGCAATTTTTACGTGAAATCAAAATTGTAATTAGCCTCGATCCTTTGTGAATCATGAAACAAGGCATGAGTGCGACATTGAAGATCTAGGGATTGATGAAAGAAACAACTCATGATCCTAAATGCCACACCGATGGCTTGGTTCATCTTATTGAAATGAAATAATTGACATCATAGGCTAAAAAAAGTGACCTCACTCTAGAATTTGGTTTGCAATTCATGTAAGTACTCATCATAGGTGGTACGCACATGTAGCAAACAAGTCGTAAAAGCGAGCAAGTTTGAGACGCAAATAAGTAGGAACAGAACATCAAGGCTGCCATGGAACCCATCTCGCCATCCATTCTCTATCGTCATCCAACTGGTGTTGCAAGAGAATGGATGGTTCATATGGATTTGATGGCAGTCATGAAAACCAGCAAGAACAAGCCATGAAAAAACAATAACAGAAAATAGTTGTGCAGCCACCTCATTGTTTTTTCACATTTTGCGTCATAGGCCAGATCAGAAACCCACTTTAGGCATCAACTCATGGAAACACAAGTATCAAATCCAAGAAATGACAGAAATATATGAAAGCATGAAGTGAAGATTCAAATAAGGCCATCCCCACGGGTTCAATGACACCCATGAATAGCACAATATAATACAGTCCTCCCAATACAACAGGAACATAAAGTGACAAATATAGTAGCAGTAGCAGTAACCAACAAAGGTTACTAATTAATACATCAAGTTTGTCTCCAAACAAAGGTTCAACTCACAACAAGTAGGCACTTAAGTGAATGTAACACCCTCGGTGTTACACTGTAGATCATTTACTAAAATATGTTATGAGCATCATGTTTATGTGTTATTGCATGTAATAAAGTGTGTAGATCAATTTCTATAACTCAAAACGATCAACTCGAATGCGAAACGAAAGTTAATTCAATAGTCATGTTATATCACTTAAGGTTGAAAACCAATTTTTATCAAGCAAAAATGCTATGAAACATGTATGTGATACTTAAATAAAGTTTGAAGTACAAACTTTGTAGATGACAATGAAATACTTGCGGTAGAAAAATGATATTACTAGCTAATATTTCCACTAGCTTAGAAATCGAAAATGGAAGTCAATTTCAGCTCAAACACTTAGAATTTTTCAAGTTTGCCGACTGTTAGACACTGCTATGTTTAGCAATTTATCGTGAGAGTTGGATTGGATTAAGGAATAGTGAAGTATTATGGCTTGTTTTAGTAGCCTAATGGACCCCCCTAAGGTGTTGCTAGGAAGTGGGTTTGGGGATGGGAGCAACTGGTTAGAGGTTGCAAACACTTTAAAACCGTGCACAGCAAGCGTTCTCACCGATTTTCTGCTCAGGCATGTGGTCACCGGGCCCGCTGCTTGACGTCAGAGTGTCAGTCGTGTGGTGTACACACAGATGGCCATACATGTTGGCCATGGCTCATTGCCGCAGTTGCCCGCTTCGGTGTGCCGACTAGCCGAATCAACGCGAGCCGCATACCGCCCTGCGGCGTGGTTGCCCACCACGCCGTGTGCGTTGCCGTTGTCCCATCACGCCGCGCCGCCTACTCACTACACCGTGCCTCGCTACCATTGCACCGCCATGTGCTCCTACACCATGGCGTTCTTTGCCTTCTCGCCACGCACGTGGATGCCGCCTTAATGGCGCCGTCGGTCCACCATTATGGCGCTGCGGCGTGCGGGCCAGAGCCAGCCGTGGCCGCTTGTGCTCGCCGCTTGCGCCTGGCATTTGTACCCTGGTTGCGACGCTTGTGTCCCACAAAGAGCGCCAGCCGCATCACTGCTCGTCGTTGTTTCCACCGCTGCGCCCTCCCCTGCTTCCCGCCGTGGTCACATCGTGACCCCGGTGAGCCAGAGCGCGAGAGCTTGCCTTAAATCTCACGTGCTCATGTCTCTGCCTTGGCGTCCATGTGCCAACTATCCCCACCCCGCCTTGAATTGTGTCACGACGTGCTCCAATTTGGAGTTTTCCCTCCACCGTGCCATTAAGGCCGGGTTCGGTCGTGGCCGAGGGCAACCACTCACCACACCATCCCACGCCCAGCTAACTGCGCCACGAGCTTTGCCTCCACCTCCACTGCACCCTACACGCTGACTTGCACCTCTACCGCCTCGCCAGTGCTGCTGACATGGCCGCGCCGTCGCGGAGCATCGGCGCCTCCCGCCAGCCGCACGTGGCCAGCCCTGCTCGGGGTATCTCCGACTGAACCATCACCGCAGCCATGACCGGGGTAAGCTAGTGATGCTCTCATGATAGCTAGTAGCTACGCGGTGGTCTAGGGTGGCCGGTACGGTCGCGCTACCGTCACATGCGGCCGCTCACCATGGTCGTCACTCCCGCAAGCTCCGTCGCTACCGTAGCTTTGGCTAATGTAGGCGCTAGGGCTGTAGGTGCAGATCGGCCCGCTATCTGGGTTGGGGCGGGTCCCGGTTGGCTGGCGTGGCCGTCTAGTGCCACATTCGCCGTGCCAGCGCATGTAGGGGTGGCCAGGGACCTGGCCGTGGTAAAGGCGATAGATTGCAGGGTCCTATCCACATAGTCTCTCTCTCGGTAAATAGTGCTGTGGACTGTGGGTTGATTCGATCTTAGCGCGGGGGCATTTTTGTAAAGTTGGCAGCACGCGCGGGTCGCCCGATCATGGGCCGCCTCGTGGTGGGCCGCGTCCACAAGGGCCGCACGATGGTGGGCCATGGAGTGCAATTCATTTTTCCTTTTCTTAAGGAATTAGAAATAGCTTTATATTTTAATTTATGAGCTAAACTTTGAAAATTAATATCAATTCGCATAGATGTCCAAAAATTGTGAAATAAATTTTGTTTAGTTCCTAAAAATGTTGTCTATCTGATGGCATAGTTAGTTTATGTATGTCTGAGTTGATACTGAGGTCTATTAAATCAATTGCGAGTGTTTAGTATTATTTAGGTTAATATTTGTAGGAATTTTTGTGGCAAATGGGTAATAGTTTTGTCCATGAAATTTTTACAGTAGGTTCATTATATTATTATGTGCTCACTGTAATTTTTGTAGCCTTAGAATATGTTGATAAATAGGGTAGCTAAGCACTCCTTGTTTTAGTATATATGAAATCGTAAATAAAGTAAGAAATGCATTTTTGGTTGCTAAGATAATACTTGAATGTTTCATACCTGTTTAGTCGAAAGGATGGGTAGCTTAGCATCTTAGTCATTAGAGTTAGCTTAGTAGCTTGGTAGATGTATTGTTATTTTAAGAGTTGTTGTTGCTAAAATGCTAAGTGTTGCATCATCATTGCATGCATGTAGAGAACGCGTTGGTGGAGTTCATGACCGCTGGAGAGCAGGAATATGAGGAGGTGATTGAGGAGTACGAGGAGGAGGTCTTCGTACAGGAGGAAGCCTTGGAGCCACCAACGACTGACATAGCTAACCACCCGCCTACCCAAGGCAAGCCCTGGTGCATAACCCTTATTTTGAATAATTACTGGAAATATATATATGATGTGCATTTACATTATAGGATTTATATTGAAACTACATGCATAGATATACCTACCTATGAGTCCTACTAGCTTAGGTCGAGTAGCTGCTATGCTTACGTTTTTCGGTAGCATGAATAACCTGTCGTTACTCACAATAGGTGATTATTATTATCACTCTCATGATAAAATGGTGAAAAGAAATAGAGTCTGGGCAGGGATATGGTATGGGTATTGGTGGTTGTAAGAGGTTGTGTCCCACGGCCAATAGGCCATAGCTTGATTACACTGTTTTCCCTGTCCATATCGGTTAAGGACCGACCATTGCATTTGATTCTAGTCAGGTCACAGACTTATTATCCTGAGCACATACTTGTTTATGGGAGCAGGGAAGGCTCATTGCTCTCTTGTCGTGGGTTTCGGCTCTTTTTGGACCGACTAACTGGAGTCAGGGATGGTGGAGGTCTAAGCACCACACTGAGTCCGGGACTCCGGTGTGGGGGCTTGGAGTCCAAGTTTGGACGGGGACCTAGACCCCTTGACAGGAGAGTGGTGGGTTGGTCCTGCTTGTGCTTGGGGTACAAGCGGGGTGTGTGTTTCGGGGTACCTAGTTGGGCACATTGATTCGTGAATCGTCGGGTAATCCGGTACGACTTGTCTACGATCTAGCACCGTAGTAAGAACTGAAAGATGAAAGATGGTGAAATAGATCTGTTTGCTCAACTCTTGCTTGAAAGTAGAACATGTGCTTACCTAGAATGATTAGATACTGAATTAATCATGATTGCTAATAAGAAACATACATAAGGATTCACTACTAGTATTGCTTTTTACAAAAAGAAAACCTAGCAAACCATAAAGCTTATCATATCCTTTGGAGTGGGAAATTATTCCCACTAGTCGGGTAAGTCTTGCAGTACATTGTCTACTCAGGGTTTATTCACCCTGTTGTAGGTGCAGCTTGATGAGTAGCTGTTGTGTGGAGGATTCTTCTGGTGGGCATAGATGGATCATTGTATTCTACTGTTAGATGTTTATTGTAATTTCACTGTTTAAATTCCACACTCTGAACTTAGTATTGTAATAATGTATTTCTAAGAACTCTTGTTGTATGAAATGGACTAAGTATTATAAACTTGTTCTCATTATTGGATCATGGAGAAAAAACATGGATTATTCGAGTTCTCCCTTAGGGTGTGCTCGGCATGAATCCGTCCGATGTAGCTTTGCTTTTGGGGTGCTTAGTGTCGGTGGAAGACGAAGCCTACGAAGGTGTGTTATATCGGGCGGTTACTGCCACAGTGAACTACCAAGTTACACTTGCTCGAGATATAGTTAGCCACCCTCCAACTATGCAAACCCAAAAGGATCAGGTGATGGTCAGTCATCTACCATGTACAGGAGCTACACCAAAATGGAACCCAAAAGAGAGAAGAGAGTGGGTGAGGGCGGTGGAGGAACTATACATCTCAACAGTCAACCCCCTCCTTACCTTGCTGTCCTAGATGTACAGAACTACATATAGTAGTTCTTGGCAAGGTAGTTCCTTAGCCAAATGTCCGTATGGCTTATTGCCATGTTCACAAAGCCCCTGCCTAGGGCCTTGTTTTCCAGCAGGTAGGTGTAGATAACAATGAGAGCTTCAGTGGTGAAGCCAGGCATCTCCATCACAACAAGATAGAGGTCAGGATCCACATGTGCAGGCCTAGTCTCTCTAAGTGTAGAGGCTACGTTGTTGACAGCATCAGTCATGTTAGTCATCATCAGCATCTCTTCCTCACTGAAATTACCCCTCTTTCTCTTTACTCCCACATTGGAAGTGAGCAGCTCAGTTGCCTTGCTGCCCTCACCCATATCAGGGCTATATTTGATATCAACAGCAGTGGTAAAGCCCTGGGCCTCAATCTTAGCAGCAACACTGTCAACATTGTTCACCCCAAGTGGCTAACTAGAACCTAGGGCAAACCTACTAGTGGCCATGGAAGAACCAAATATGGTCTCCATCTCAGTGTAGAACTTGATTGGGGTGTTGAGGAATTCAGCATTCTTAGGATGGTCCTACAGTCATGTGTGCTAAAGTAAATAAACAGGGAAGAAGAGAATAAGTGCCTACAAGGGAAAGAGACAAGAGAGAGGGAAATTGACTCAGTTTCTACCTTGCAGTGGGCTGTGTAGTGCTCAGGTTCAAGCATTATGGCATTGATATCCTGATCAAACAATGCACCACTAAGGTCCTTCAACTTCACAACCCTTGCCCACTTCTATCTCCACTTCCTCAAGTGGTTTTACACTTGAGTAGGGCTCACAGCCTCACCATAGTAATCTAATAAAGCCTTTGCCACATAGTTCACATCCTTATCCTTGAAGCATTTGTCAGCCCTACTGCCATCAAAAACTAACTGGGCCATCCTCCTAAGGACAAACCCAGATGTGTTGTTATTCCACCTCATGGGGGACCTAGCACCACCAGCACCCCCCTAGGTAGGCACTACCACAAGTGCATCAGCCCCCACATCCACCACCTCAGGTGCAGCAACAACCACTGCTGGCCCAACAGCTGCTGCGCCAGCACTAGCCACACACAGCCATGTCAGCAGCTACCACAAACCCAGCCATCCTAATAAGGTCACCATACATCACATGAAGGTAGGCATCAACAACAAATAGCATATGAAGATGAACAAGACATAGAAGATGAACAACAGATATATGATTGGTCTCAGTCATGTCCATAAAAACATAATCATCATAAAACAATTCCATATTGATCTCAGTCATGTCCAACAGTTATTATAGATGATGAATACACCACATGAGTTCCATATCCAGGGTCTACAAACTAAAATTATACAAGAATACAAAGCATGAATCAAACCCTAGCAATACCCCTACCAGCCCACATGGCATTGCAAATGCCATCCCTCCTATTAAACATGCTAGTGGAGTCCTGGGACAGCATGTCTTTCATAGGCTAGGTTTCATCAGCCTCAGGCTGGCTGCCTAGGAAGCCCTCCTCTTCTGGCACTACTTCATCCATGCCAAACCCAATGATCCAATTATGGAGAATACAACAAGCCATCACAAGCTTCACTCGAGTCTTGTATGTGTGGAAAGGTTTGTTGTCTAGGATACAAAATCTGTTCTTGAGTGCACCAAAAGCTCTCATCACTGTCACCCTAAGGGATGAATGCCTTAGGTTGAACAGTTCCCTAGCATTAGTAGGATAATTGTGGCTCCCAAATTAAGACAAGTGGTACCTCACCCCCCTATAGGGAGGGAGGAAACTAGTGCGGCAAGCATAGCTAGCATCTACTAGGTAAAACTTCCCTACAAGTGGATCAAAAGATATACTATAGTGAAGATGTGTGACAAGTTAAAGGACAAAAGTGTATGGACTATTAATTTGAGTTACCTTCAGGAACTATGAACCCATCATTCCTGTCAATTGCATCAGCAAGAATGAGTGCATCATGGGCAGAGCCCTCCCAGCCAGCTAGGACATAGGTGAACTTGAGATTAAAGTCCACAACAGCCATCACATTTTATGTGGGGTTGTGTTTCCTACCCCTGAAAGCCTACTGCATGTGTCTAGGCACCCTTGCCAACACATGTGTGCCATCAATGGCACAAACACAGTCCTCAAAATGTGTAGGATAGTGGATAAGTGCAAACATAGCAATTGGTTAAACCCAAGGCAGATAAACATGATTAACAAGTACCTGCATATATGGGTACCATATCTGGCTACCCATGATTTTTGGATATGTGGCAGTGGTAGGAGGCTTGATCATTTTATTCCTAAGCTCACCAACAGCATATAGAACTTGGTGGAAGACACTACTAACTATCTCAATGGACCTCCTAAAAGACTAGTGAACTACCCTGAACCTCTGGTGGTGACCAACAACATGGAGGAACATTGCAACCTACTCTTTAATAGAACACCCACTGGTTTCTCTAACGAGGCCTCTATCTCTAAAAAGGTTGCATAGAGCAAAAAAAGGAGCTCTGATCATACGCAACATAGCCAAGCACTCAGCATCAGTGCTGTTAAATATCATTTGGAGGGTGGTTAGCCTATGGTGCTGGCTTAATGGCCTAGGACCATAAGGGACAGGCTCTAACTGGGCCCTAATTCTTCTTAGTCTAGTGACAAAAAATGAAAGCATAACCACAACCATAGCAGCTGCTTGCCTAGTCATCATCTCACGTTGTGCAGTTGGATCCATCTACATGCATTCAACATTCAAAGATACAACTTAGCAGTAGTAGACCCTAGCTAGCCTTAACATGAAAGTGCAATCATTCATATCAAAAGCTAACAACACGGCTGCATAAAAAGAATGCCTCCAGTGCATGGGATAGAATCATCATCGACCATATGAAAAGTACCAACAATGTAGCATAAATGTTTCAGAGCTCGAAATCAACATTCATAGAAACTACACAAGCATCATGTACCCAAACAATCATTCCACAGAGACAAATCGAAATCAAAATAGGGCAATAGGAAACCCTAGAATGAAAGCAAAAGGGATATGGGGGGATTTCACCTCGTGGGAGTCGATGGAGATAGGAAGAAGCGCAAGATGGAGAAGAAGAGCCACGGTGGAAGCAGAAGTAGATCCGGTATGGGACGAAGCAGATCGACCCCAACCGAGACCAGCTGCACCACCGAAGGAGTAAGAAGACGAAGGAGGAAGACAACCGCGTCCACAGAGCCCGGTAGGAGGCGTAGCAGTGCCGCAGCCAAGCGGATCCTGACCGCCTGAATGGAGATGAAGACCGGAGAGGAAGAAGACCGTCGCATCGCACCACCACCACACCAACACCGTCGGTCACTCAACGCGAACGCAGTGGGGAAGACGGAGCTAGAGGAGGGAGAAGATGGCAGCGAGGGCGGCATATAAAGGCAGCATATTTCAACGAGGAGGAGCACGGGAGGAAGTTTCATGGTTCCCGCGTGAGCCCACGTGAGCCGCCGTCGCTGCCCTGAAATCACCCGTGCGAGGATGGAGGGAGCCTGGCTCCAAAAAAACGAACCCCAGGAGCGTTCTCCCGCAATCAGGAGAGAGAGTGCGTTTTGCATGACCAGAGCCGGGCCGCCAGTTGGGCCAAGCAAAACAAATAGACCGGGTTGTAGCTGGGGAGCGTCGGCCACCCCCTTGCCCCTATATCAAACAGGCCTAGAACGTCCCGCTCTGCCGCTCGCCACCCATGTATAGATGGCCAAAGGGCCGGCTCGGCTCAGCACGGCACGGGCACGGGACAGGCACGGCCCATAGGGGGTCGGGTCGACATAGCACGCCGTGCCACTCGGGTTGTGCCTCTCCGGGCCTCGTGCCTAGCCTTTGGCCCAAGCACGACACTATGGGCCATAATTCGTGCCGTGCCGGCCCGCTAAGCACGGCCAGATCTACGGGTCATGCCGGCCCAAAGCCTGGTGACCTTAAGGCACCTCAAAATGCTTCTCATCCAACACTTAGCATAGATTTATTCATTCAAATTTCAAAATCTCAATTCACCAGACAGAATCACAATTGTTCACAGATTCAAACTTCTAAGTAAATGATCAAATGACTCATTCACAATCACAATTGTTCATAGATTCAAACTTCTAAGTAAATGACCAAACTCAGTTACTCAGCCACAAACTGATCACAGATTCTAACTTCTAACTTGAGAACTTAGCAAACTCAAAATGACCAAATCCAACAAAACAAAAGGAGATAAGATAAACGAGCTGTTTGTGCAATGCTGCATCATTAAAAACGTTTCTAGGTAAAACTCACCCTTGTGAGAAACCCTAGAAAGGGAAAAAGAGTGCACCATATCTCTTAAACTAAACCATTGTTCAAAGGTCTCACAGTCACAGTCTCACAGATGACAGGTACAGATAACACTCTCCTCTCTCAAGTCTCAACTCTCAAGTCTCACACTAACTCACTAAGTACTAGCATCAGCCCCAATCCCCACTCCCCAGATAACACTCTCTCTCTCTCAAGTCTCACACTAACTAAGTTTCACACTACCAAAGACTAGCCCCGGATGTACCACCGGCCCTAGATGTAGCACCAAATTTCAATTGTACCAAAGAAGAATCCCTAGATTCATCTTTATCAAGATACAAATTGTTGAAGGAGTCTTCCAACTCTTGGTTGTAAACAACATGTTGTAATCTTCTTTCTCCTAACTCCCAATCCTTTATGCAGTCAAGATTCCATAAGCCAGAGGCAACAAGCGTCGTCGCCGCTCTTCAATTATCCTTCCTATCAAGCTAAAACATGATTATGAAGAGACAGTAGAAACATGAACTGACATAATATCTCTAGCCATTATAAATAGGATTTGATAGGTTAGTTTGTGGTCACGCCACCAGAGAAGTAAATCAAAATCATCCTCATATGAAGTGATATTGTCACTGTCTAGATAAACTGAGAGCTCACAAACAGCAGAACCAGATGAAGATAAAGTGGGGGGAGAGGCAAGGGAAGGACCAACAATACTAGATCTAGGGCTTCCAAAGATTCTTCCCGATGCCTGTTTTTTCTTACATGTATGGCTTGCAGGCTGTGCAACCCTTTGAGACCTAGCTGCACCAAACTTTCTCTCATATTTGTTAAACAACTTGTAAATTTTAGTTTTCACATTAGCATAATATGAACTATAGTCACACCAATGTTCTCTTTAAGTATTTGCAGAACATTAAACAAACCTCTCAACTTAGCTCTAGGATCAAGTATGAATGCAAATAAATATAATAGAAGTATATCTTGCTAGTATTTAAGGAATTTAAGCTTCATAGGATATACAATAGCTATTAGATTTTGATCTTTTTCACTTGCATGCAAATGAGAAGAAATCTCTAGCAGATGGTGCAGAATAAGTGGACTAGTTGGATAGTAAACACCAGAAAGAACAACAGTGGAGTCATAAAATAGTTCTAGAAACTCCAATATCTTTTCAGCTACATACCAATGCCTTGCAGACAACAATTGTGAGCCATAATTGGAATTAATGAACATAGAAAAACATGCTTATATGGAACCAAGTGTTTAAGCATAATGTATGTAGCATTCTATCTAACATCCATATCTAAACCAAACTTTCTAGGTCTAACACCATGAGCAGTATAGTAATTCTTGAACATAGCAATTCTTTGATTAGAGGAATTTAAGAAGTTAATAGCAGTTCTAAAATCTTCTGTGTAAGGTTTGAATATCTTTAAATCAGATTTTACAATCAGATTAATGATATGACAAACACAACGTTGATGCACAGGACTATACTTATGCTTAGAAGGATCTGAAGGCTCAGGTGAAGGATCAGGACCCAAATAACCAACAAACATAGATGTCAAAGTATTCATAGCCTTAGCATTAGAAGAAGCATTGTCTAAAGTTACAGAGAAAACCTTGTCAATCAGACCATACTCCTCAATCACACAAGCAATTCTTTCAGCAATATTTTCACCAGAATATTTCACCTCAATCAACTTAAGACCAATAACCTTTTTCTATAACTCCCAATTAGCACTCACATAATGAGCAACAACACTAATGTAGTCCTCCTTAGCATTACCAGACCAAATATCTAAAGTCAAAGCAACAGAGAAAGCAGCAGACAACACAGAATTCTTAAGCATATTACGTCGTTCAGTAAACAGCTTACTAAGATCTCTAGTGGTGGTATGTTTAGATGCCTTAACAAACCTAGGGTTATGAGCATGAACAATGTACTCCTCCTAGGTCTCTGTCTCATCAATACCTAACGACAAATCAAGCCTAGCAATCCAGCGACACAACTCAGATCTAGCAACATCAGGTTTATAATTCCAGTTATGCACAGAACCATTAGGATTGTAAGCAAACCTAGACTGAACCCTAGCAACTTGATTGACTTTTTTTTGCCTACAAGATTTCTAGTGCCTCTTTAGTGGCAATGCCGGTAGAAGATCTAGCGAGACAACGTATGCTTACACATTTTATAGGTAGCTTTAGTGCAAATCTGCCTACCATTCACAGTCTCATAGACCTCATCAAAATCAGCCCACACAACAGATTTACGCTTACCAACAGAAGAGCTACCAGCAACAGATGGAGATGAGCTGTTGAAGACGACCGGGGTCCCAGTCGCCGTCGCCCCTTCATCACCACCGCTGTCGTCGCCGTTCAGATCGATCGGAGCAGAACCGCTACCGACATCGATACCGAACAACGCAACAACGTCCTCACGGGTGTTGTCGTCCCCCTCCCTCGGGGGCTAGGCTCGGCAAAGAAGACGACATCGTTTTTCACCATGGTGCCCTCGTCGTCATCCTCTCTAGCCCCTGCTCCTCAGCGGTGCGGCGGGGGCCACCTTGGTCGCTCTATGCCACAACTAGTGGACGACGATCACCACCGACCCACGCAAAAAAGAAGGGTTAGGGTTAGGGTTAGGGGTTCATACTTTGCAACCGGAGCCCGTGTCGAGAAAGAGAAGACGAGGGCCACCTAGAGGAAGACGACACACCGATTAGCAACGACGGCGGAGAGCAGAGGAGGATGACGGGGACACGAACTCACATAATCACCGAGATCTAGAGGGAGAGAGGAGGAGGAGAGGAGGAGAGGAGGGACTGTGGTCGGGGAGGAGGAGAAGGAGCATCGTCGCGGCATGACAAAGCGGATCGGAGTCGGGGTCATCTGAGTGCGCAGAGAGAGACCGCTGATGCGCGAGGCGAGAGCGAGACAGACAGAGCATGCAATGGCGGGTGGGAAAATCAGGAAATAATTTAGGGTTTCGGGGTGAGGGAAGGGACTGAGGGAGCGCCGTGGCCTCCCGCTTTTATACGAGGGGGAGGGGTAGGCGGGGTCACAGGTCATGGTCATGGCTGGGAGCCACCGGGCTTACCGGCCGATCAGGATGGGGGTGGTTTAACGGTCGCCGGGTCGGGCACGTACGCGTGCTCGAGGTAAGGCCTGTGCCCGGCTTGCTATACCGGGCGTGCCAGCCAGTTCAGACGCCACGGGCGGGCCGTGTTCGTGTCGGGCCAAATTTGCGGGCTTCGGATCTGCTACACCCATGTCACTGTCATCAAGTAACATCACGCCGTGGCGACGCGGGAGGCGTCCCGGACCGGAGCCGCGCCATTGGGTCCCGCAGCTGTAACGCGACCACCACCAACGCCGTCTCCGTCTCTTACGCAACTATGTACGCCACTGACGCGAGGGGCCCAGTGGTAGCACGAACCACCGGTCAGCAGGAGGTGCGTGGAGAGCGGGGGAGGGGCGCACCGGAAAGCGCGGGTAGGCCGGGCGGGCCGCGTGCGTGAACGCCAGCGCCGCCCGCCGTGTCACGCTTTCCGTTGCTGGCTGGTTGGCTCGCAATCCCACGCAACGCAAGTCCGGCACGCGGGCTCCCTCCTCTTCCTCCGGCCAATCCTCCGCCGATTCCCCTCGCGCTTTTATTTATTCCCCGTCACGTCGCTCGCGTCCGGCTACACCCCGCACTAGTACACTCCACTACTCCCGCCGCCGCCGCCGCCCCAGCCAGCCAGTGCCTGGCGGCAGGTGCAGGTGCAGGTGCAGCCGTGCGAGCGCTCCTGCAGCTCCTCCCTTCCCCTCTCGCCGTCTCGCGGCCCGGACCCGGGTCGCATTCCTTCCCGTCCGATCCGCGCAGGCGCAGGCCTCCCAATTCCCCTGCCCCCACCAGCCACCAGCCACCAAAAAGCAAGCAGCGCACCACTAGCTCGCCGAGCATCCGCATCGTATGAGTGCGCAGCAAGGAAGCTCGCGCGAGCCACCGCGCACGAGGGGACCAGACGCGATGTCGTCCTCGCCATCGTCGTCGCCGCCGGCCACTTCCCCGCCCGCCGCGCCGGCCAACGGTACGGCCGCGCCGCCCACTGCCGCGCCGCCGCCGCCGTCCAACTCCTCCTCTCCCACCTCCCCGACGCCCCCGTCCACGCCCACGCCCACGACACCGACGCCAGCGCTCGCTCCCCCCACCGCTCCCGCGCCGCCCTCCACCGACTCTCCAGCGCCGCCCGGGACGCCCCCCGCGCCGCTGTCCCCGAACGCGGCCGCGCTCCCCGCGCCCGGCAGGGCGACGCCGGCCTCGGCCTCGCCGCCGTCGCCGTCCTCCTCCGGGTCGGGACTCACCACGTCCGTCGTGGTGGGGATCGCGGTCGGCGGCTTCGCCGTGCTGCTCCTCGGCAGCCTGTTCTGCCTCTGCCTCTTCAGGAGCAACAAGAGGAGGCGGCGGCGGCACCACCACCACCCGCCCCCGCCACCGCCGCCGCCCCACCTCATGCACTACTACGGCCACCCGCCGCCGCCTCCGCCTCCGCCGCCGCCGCACAAAGGTGAGCTGCCGCCACCTCTGTTACGCTTCCCGAACAGGTGTCACGTCGCCATCACCTACTATAATTGTGCTGTGTTCTCTACTACCAGGGCGAATTGAATGTGGTTTGTGGGTTTTGATGATGCACAGCACAAATGTCGTTTTGCTTCTCTGCTTACCATAATCGTGGTTTTGCTTCGCCATCACCTAGCATAATCGTGCTGTATTCTCTGCTACCATACCAGGCCGAATTGTGAATGTGTTTTGTGGGTTTTGATGCACAGCACAATCGTGGTTTTGTTTCTCTCGAGGATTTTTATTTTGGTGCGTGCGAGATGTGGCTACTGCTGGCGGCATGCCGGCATGTATGTCATGTGTGATTGATGACTAAAAAAACATTGACCGATTTTTTACTTTTGGAGGTTTTGTCGCATAATGTGGGTCACTGGAATCATGGGCCTAAGTTTAGTATGGAATATTGGTCATGTCGATGTTCGTCTATGTTCTACAATCTACATAATCAAGAGGGTGAATTTTTACAGCAAAAAACTGATAGCACTCCACATGGTTAGTGATTTTTTTGGGGGGAAATCATGGAATTCACAAGGTTTCAAGTCAAGTCACGAGGGAAAGAATTTTTTTCCAATTCTGGGTTTCACCATCATCATGTGAATGCGTTTACTTTAACCTTTATTTCTTCATTTTATTCTGCATTGGAAGTTTTCATGTTGGATTTCTTTCTCCATCACATTTTTTATTTAAAGTCACGACTGTCTTGCTTCAGGGGATCAGTACCAAAACTGGCAGCATAATGCCCCTCCACCACCACCTGACCATGTAATCAAGATTAATTCACATCCTACCCCTCCGCCTCCCCCGCTTAATGTACATAGCAGTGGCTCCGCTTCGAATCACTCAGGTGGTGAGAGCCGCCCTCCGCTGTCGCCTGGAACTGCCCTTAGCTTTTCAAGGAGTACATTCACTTACGAGCAGCTGATGACGGCAACCAATGGGTTTTCTGATGCTAATCTGCTGGGGCAAGGCGGTTTTGGGTTTGTTCACAAAGGAGTGCTTCCAAATGGCACAGAGGTTGCCGTGAAGCAATTAAGAGATGGAAGTGGCCAGGGAGAGCGCGAGTTCCAGGCAGAGGTTGAGATTATCAGCAGAGTACATCACAAACATCTTGTCTCCTTGGTCGGCTATTGCATTTCTGGAGCCAACAGGTTGCTCGTCTACGAGTTTGTTCCAAACAATACATTGGAATTCCACTTACATGGTATGTTCTCTTCCTGTTTCTGCACTGTAATTACTTCATCTTGTTCAAAATGCTTTGTATGATCTCTCAAAGGCACCTTAGAAAATATGTAATATTGTTTTCCATATTTAGCAGCCACATGTTGTAGCTAATACATGTATCGTCATACACTAAAGTATCCTAGTAAAAAGTACTGATGATTTGCAACGGGAAACTTGTGAAATCAAGGTACACATATACAACAATTGTTGAATATTTTGTCATTCCTTTTCACCGAAGCAACCTAAGATGTATACTTAGGATATGTTATTGCTTGCTCAGAATAATTGAGTACTATAGGAATTTTGATTTGTTAAAGTGCATTATAGCGACCTGCCTCTCCTATGTATTCGAGAATTTCGTCAAGCCATAACAGTAGCCACAAACAAACCCATCACTGGAAGCTACTAACTTTAATGCTACTCTTTTCTTTAGTTTGAATTATATGTTATATTCATTCAGCCTGTCAAATTGTTAGGAGTATTAGAAAAGACAAGAAGATGTCCCCATTCAATGCAATGGCTGAGCTTGTGCTAAAGATGGAAAATGATTTCTGACTCTGATAGTTTCTCAACCACTTCTGATATAAATCCTGAACATTTTGCTTGGACCACACGTCCACACACATCTGTCATACCGTCTGCTATACCCTTTTGGTTTTGTTCCTTGAGCACATGCTGAGGGTTATCTTATCCTTTGTTTCAGGAAGAGGCAGACCAACCTTGGATTGGCTGACAAGACTAAAAATTGCTCTGGGTTCTGCGAAGGGATTGGCATATCTTCATGAAGATTGTGAGCTCATAGCCATAGCTACTTCTTATGCTTTGAGCTTTCTTTTTTGCTTTTGGATGGGCAAGTAGCTATTCTATACTGATTTTATTCTGCTGTCACTCCATAGGCCATCCTAAGATCATTCATCGTGACATAAAGGCCTCAAATATTCTTCTTGATCTAAGATTTGAAGCTAAGGTATCCTCTACTTTCTCCGTTTCCCCTTCCTTTTCCTAAGGGGTAACATACTTTCTCCATGGATTTGTCATTGTTCCTTGAATGGACTAGAAACTTCTATACAATTGAACTAGGCTAAGCCTTTAAGGCTAGTTGAGATGATTATATTCAGATGACATAATGTTTTGACAAACAGATGTACAATTATTACCAGTCACATTAAATAGTTGATGTGAACCTACTAACTTACTATCACAAACATATGCACTAGTGTAATTTGCTAAGTGCCTTTCTTTGCAGGTGGCAGATTTTGGACTTGCAAAATTCACTTCTGATACAGACACCCATATTTCAACCAGAGTAATGGGCACATTTGGGTATGTTCAGTCTTAGGGTGTAATATCATCTCATTTTATTTTATTGTTTCAAAACATAAGACCTACCATGGTTATCTGTGTACACAATAGACATACAGGGTCTACCATATCAAATTGCTGTGTTAAATCTCTTACTCCTCATAGGTACCTAGCACCTGAGTATGCTGCTTCTGGCAAGCTCACTGAGAAATCAGATGTCTTCTCTTTTGGAGTAATGCTTCTTGAGCTAATAACTGCGGCGCCTGTAAATTCAAGACAGGCAGATGACAACTTGGTTGACTGGGTAAGCGCATGTGGAAACTAATTTGAATTTTCAGTACACACTACACAGTACTGTGGTTAACAGGGTCAACTCATTTCTTCCACTTTTTTTTTAGAACTGAGGATTTCCCATTTCCATTAACAGAGTAACTGAAAGACAACAGTTTAGAAAGTTCAGAAAGCAGAAACAGAGTAGCCAGACAGTGCTAGAACAAGCAAGCCTTAACTACCGAAACCAGGGTCTTTCATCTGACAATATTTACTGTAATTCTGTGACTAGATATCATTGTTATTATTAACTATTGAGGTCTGTAATTAACAGCTGCATGCTTTTATCTTAGGTATAATGGTTTCCTTTGTCACTTTTTGATTGGGTTTCATGGCTTTCCTGTTTTGATCTTTGCATATGACTATTTTAACTATTCATCTCAGGCTGTTCATCATCATGTAAACTACAGATGATAATTCCTCTTGTCATTACTGTAAACATGTGCTTCTTCCTTTCATTATACTGATTTGTTTCTCCTGCAGGCAAGGCCTTTGATGATAAAAGCATTTGAGGATGGTAATCATGATGCTTTAGTGGATCCCCGGCTGGGAAGTGAGTATATTGGTAATGAGATGGCGAGGATGATAGCCTGTGCAGCTGCATGTGTTCGCCATTCTTCACGGCGGCGGCCACGAATGGGTCAGGTATACAAGTGAACTATTCTCTTGTAGGAAAAATTGCTTTGCCATCTCCAATGCAAGTTTATTGCCCTTGTATTTGAACTCTTTTTTTTTTAGTCCTGTTATCATGCTTATTCACTTGTAGCAAAAAAAGGTTTTCCAGTCAATTGTGAAAATTGCTCTTAAAGAGTCTATACTATAGTTACTCTAGATTCAGTTATGCAGTAGGAGTAACAAACAAGAGGTGCCAACACTGTTTGAGCCTTCAGGTTTTCACCATGGCAGTGGTTCAACTAACCTTATGTATACTCTGCTATATCGTTATCTTCTTGATTGATGAGGACATGTTGTACTATTAGTTTTGACTAAATCTAGTTTCGTATTACTTCGACGATGAATTCTAAGAAGAAATCATCTGCTCTTGGTGCCTGATCCACGCAGGTTGTCCGGGCCTTGGAAGGCGACGTGTCCCTGGACGACCTGAACGAGGGCGTGCGGCCCGGGCACAGCCGGTTCATGGGGTCCTACAGCAGCTCGGCGTCCGACTACGACACCAACCAGTACAACGAGGACCTGAAGAAGTTCCGGAAGATGGCGCTGGGCGGCAGCGGGCTCCAGAGCAGCAGCGGGCAGACGCCAACGAGCGAGTACGGGCAGAACCCGTCGGTGTCGAGCAGCGACGGGCACCAGGGGACGACGCAGGAGGCGGCGGAGCCGGCGGGGAGCGTGAAGACAGACGGCGACAGCGCGGCCGCGGCGTCGTGAGTCGTGAGGCGTGGCAGCCCCCCGCGCATCTGTAAATCCTCCACTCGTCCTCCTAGCTACGTACCTACGTAGAACCTAGCTAGCTGATTGATTGCTGACTTGCTGCCGGGAGAACCGAGATGTTTTGTTCGGTTGAGATAGCTTTGTTTCTTCTTTTCTTTTCTTTTTTCGGTCCTTTTGGGGGTAGATTCAGTTCACTGGTCTCATGCGATCTCGCCGCTACTGAGGATGTTTTACATGAGGCATATCTTCCTATAAATCCATGACTCTTAAAAACTGATTATTGACGCTATGAGTCTGAGCAGAGTTGATAAAAACTGTCGTTGGACTGGCTGCACGGAATCGATTGGGATGAGCAGCCCACGGAGCACGGCTGAGTTGCGTGGAGTTTGAGCCGTCCGCGTATGTGGTGTCAACTGGGACGTGTTATATGCGTCCATGATTGATAGATGGCATCTACTATCATTAAGCCGGCTTGGTTTGGCCGCCAGAAACACATGCCACGTCGCCCAAAATAATTTCGACCGTTCGATCTCCTCAACCGACGACCCAGATCTCTTGGATTGGATTTTACCGGAAGCTGATTCTCCTGCTTCATCTTACCTTCTCCGGCTTCTGCTCAGCTTTTTTCTCGCTTCTCCCGCTTCTCGTCGGAATCCACCAGACAAATATATACTCGCCCGGCTTCTCATTCACGTAGCTTTCTTCCCTCATCTCTCTCATGTTCGCTCTCTCGCTCTCCCTCTCCGACAAGGGGGGGGGCCCGGCGTTGGCGCCGCTGTTCTCACAAGCTGGTCAAGCGCGACGGCGGCGGCCACCATTCTCCTCCTCCGTAGCCCTCCCTCGCTCGCCGCTTCGTCTTTCGCTCTCTCCCGCTTTTCTCTCTCTCTCTCCCTTCCCTCTCGAATCGTCGTCATTGCGAGGCGGGCGATCGCCGCTGCAATCGTGCCGCGGTTGGGGCCCGCGGACCCTCCTCTCCCACATCCTGCGCGCAGGAGCTCGTCTAACGCTTTCTCCTCTCTGCTCTGTTCTGCTCACAGTGCTCACATATGCACAGAAACCCTAGCTGCCTGCTTTCGACCTGTGTGTGTACTTGATGCGTTCATTCTATTGGTTCAGTTGTTCATCAATTTGATTAGTTTAGTGTTTCTTCTATGAGTTTGTATTTTGTTTACCTGGGTTCTGTTCACCTGGGTTCAGGCCTCATTTCATACCTGTGCAATTGCGCCTACATGTATTCAATATGTACTGATCCTGCGATACGTGCGGTGTCGGCGGATGATAGCTTCGATCGGGTATGTATTGATGCGCTCATTTAATTGGATCATTTAATTGTTGATCAATTCGGTTGTATTTTGTTTACCTGGGTTCTGTTCACCTGGGTTTATGCCTCATTTCATACCTGTGCAATTGCGCCTACATGTATTCAATATGTACTGATCCTGCGCTACGTGCGGCATCAGCGGATGATAACTTCGATCAGGTATGTATTGATGCGCTCATTTAATTGGTTCATTTAATTGTTGATCAAATCGGTTAGTTCATGGTTTGATCTGTCAGCTCGTATTTTATTTGGGTGGGTTTAGGTTCCATTTCGAAATGTATTGATCCTGCAAAATCGTTAGTTTATGGTTCGAACCGTGAATGTGTATTTTGATGCGCTCAAGGGTTGCTTGCTTCTTACCAAATATAGTGCATGAAAATGACCTACTTTGGTGGCAAACATTACTTACCCGTTAGAAATATTGTTGTTTTTAAATCTTAGCCTGTCAAAAACCTGTGTTTTGCATTCAGACTCTAAACAATACGATGTATGTCTCTTCCTTTTTTCATGGTAATGCTTCAGTTCTGTGCAATTCCTGCTGTTCATGCCCCTTCCTATTTCCTACTTAATAGGATGCTGAATATATATATTTTTTTAAAAGAAGGATGCTGAATAAAATCTTCAATTCTGAGCATAGATAATAACTACAGCAAGTTAACCAGCCTCTGCCTTAGGCTGTTACTTCAGTACAACGCTTGAGCGCACAATCTTCTATTGAGTTCTCATGCTACTTTACATGGTAACAAACGCCGATCCTAGAACACCGATCCTATCTCAATACCACAGGACACGTAGCTTTGCAAGTTTTCCTTCATTGCTAGGTATTCAAATGTCATTTATTGGATCTGAAGTTTGTTCTTGTTTCATTTCTACTTCGTTCCTACGGTATCATTATAGATTATAGGTATTAAGATAAAGACTAAAGTTTCCGGCGACATCTCTTTTTTCCTCTCTTCTTCTTTTCTGAAGTATCTTTTTCAGTTCTCGTACATGTGTTCCAAATTCAGTTGATCACATCTTTATAGATAAAGATAATTTCGTGTTTCGATAATTGCCGTGCACAAGCATCGTCTTTTTGTTACGTATAGGCCTCTTAGGTTAAAAGAGCATATTCTGAGACCTTTCCTACTTCGTTCCTACGGTACCATTATAGATTATAGGTGTTAAGATAAAGACTAAAGTTTTCAGCGACATCTCTTTTTTCCTCTCTTCTTCTTTTCTGAAGTATCTTTTTCAGTGCTCGTACATGTGTTCCAAATTCAGTTCACCACTTCTTTATAAATAAAGATAATTTTGTGTTTCGATAATTGCTGTGCACAAGCATCGTCTTTTTGTTACGTATAGGCCTCTTAGGTTAAAAGAGCATATTCTGAGGCCTTTCCTAATCGAAATGTGCCAGGTAGTGCAAGCAGCCTCTCATGAATGGTGATATAATGCATTTTCGAATTGGAATTGGAATGCTCTTGATCAATTTTGCTTTGCCTTTTGTTGCACTTCTTGCGACTTGCCCGTCTCTCAGTTTCCATGGTTTTGACTTCCTGTAGATCTGTCTTCTATCTCTGTGTTTACATGGAACTGTCTACATGGACAGATCAAGGATGTTATGAATGTATATTCTGTACATGCTGTGTATACATGCTAAACGATTCAGCTTTCCATGCAAACTTTCAACCTGACAGGTATTTCTTTTATGCCCATCAGCTACAACCATCTGTGTATGATGCGTGTTCATTTACTTGCAGATTTTATTTAGTTGTCTGCTTACCTAATAACAGCGGTTACGCAGTTTGAATGACCACTTTTTTTCAGCCATGTTTTAAGAATATTATAAGCCTTACCTATTATACAAAATTTCATCTGTATTCACTTCTCATCTTGCAATCAGTTAACACTGTATATCTGAATTGTCGTGTTTATCTCAAAAATATTAATCGCTCGACTGCTTTCTGCAGGCTAATCACACAGAGCTTTATCCCCTTACCGGCGCGCGCGACAATGGGGGAGGGTGCTAGCCTGGCTTGGCGCTTTACAATTATGGCGGCGGCTTCTGCCTTGACCCAGTAGAAAATCACACGCTAACAACCACTTCTTCCTTGGAGGTATGCTACTTTTTTTTACTGTTCCTCCGCTTGCCCTTTCTTTATTATCCTAAATGTGATTCAAGGTATGTTTGCAAAATATTTATGGTCTGGGAAAACAATATTTTAATCTAATATGGCTTCGGTTTTCCCTCTCAGTGCCGCTTCATTTAGGGTACCTTGAGAAAGTTCATGTCTCGGGATGATCAGTATAGTTGTATCCTATGTTATTTATGGAAGACGAGAAAATCTAAATTTTAGCATCCCATCAATTTCAAGGTATAGATGTCGTTACCTGCACGGTTTGATTTTCGTTTAATCGCCGGCGCGCGTGATGGACTATTACAACATTATACTGACAGTGACAGCAATGCAGGCACACGGATACAGGCTGTGCTGAACTGCTGACTGCCGACACCTGGAGACGACAATGCAGGACCATGTGTTGAGCTGGTTTGCATGCACAGCACCGGGCCAGACGACAGAACGGGAAGACGAGAATCCGTTCTGTTACCGAATGCGGTGCATGTGCGGTGTGCCATCAGAAAAGATTTTTATTTTTATTTTTAACACTTTTTTAAACTAATTTTAAATCTAACACTGTTTAATTTTTTTTCTCCAAAACTAACACTTTTGGCCGCGTCTATTGCCATGACGCGGCGAAACGTCTGTACCGCACCATGCATGGTGGCGCGGCGGGAGGATGACGTGGCGACGACTGGTGATGTGGCAGGGTCTGCCACGCCATAGACCATGGCGCGGCACTGACGCGCTAAGGCCCATGGCGCGGCAGGACCTGGACGCAGACAGAAGACCAGCCTCAGCTGCTGTCGGTGAGGATCGGCAGCGACGCGACCATGGACCCCGGTTTCACGTCGTAGCTGAACGACACCTGCAGCTCCGACCCCAATGCCTTAGCCTTCCTCGACCCCTCGCCGGTGGGCTTCGACAACGCCTTCTACCGGAACCTGCAGGTCGGCAAGGGCCTCCTGGGCTCCGACCAAGTGATCTACTCCGACATGAGGTCGCGCAGCACGGTCGACTAATACGCGTCCAACCAGGGTGCCTTCTTCAGCGATTTCGTGGCAACGATGACGAAGCTCGGGAGGATCGGGGTCAAGACACCGGCCACCGATAGCGAGATGCGCCGGGACTTCCGGTTCCCGAACTAGTTGCTAGTTAATCTCACCGACAGTGCTGCCGCGACGCATTGAAAAGAATATGAAGCAAATAAATGGAGTCCATGCGTAAATTGACAAGTTGCCACATAATATTTTCGTTGGTTCATGAGTCTGCAAGTTTCAGACAACAATATTTGTTCGACATAACTAACTAAGTCCCAGGAGTGTAAGGATCACTCGGACGTCTCTGTCTCTTTGGATTTGTAGGCAACACATTGGGAGTGTAGCCAACGTCGGTGTGGTCGCGTTGCCGGTGCGTACGGCTCGTACCCTGCAAGTATATGATATGCACGATTACTTATAGTCTTTATGATCGTTAGTTCATGGAGCCTACATATTTAAAGAAACTACCTTTGTTACTACCTGTGAGGCTCCTTGGGTACCAAGTGGGGCACCACCTAGTCGACACATGCCGATCTCGTCCCGCGCCAATCGTCCCACTTTGGTGGTGGTTTGCTCGTGGAAGCCGGAAGTCACCGTCGCCGTCATCGTCGCCCCTCGCTTGTAGGGTCCTTCCCGGCCGCTATGATGTGGTGGTGTACGATCGCGGAAGTGGCACTGCCATCGACCGAGAAGAGCCGGTGGTGTCCTCAAAGAGCCGTAAGACGTGCCACCCGACCACGCTGCGGATCGCCGGTTCCACTCAAGGAGTGTCCATGCAGCTCAGCTTCTGAGCTAGCTTCCTGCAGCTCCGCTTCACCTTCTGCATAAATAGACGTTAAAGTTAGTGCATTTTCCAAACGCATATACACTAAAGAAACATTTTCGGAATGTAAAAGTTTATGTTTACCTCCACAAAAGCCTCGAGAACGCCTGTCCCCAGCCCTCTAGACTCGTGAAGCCGAAACGCTGCTTCGTTGGATAGCCTTGACAATTGTGTCGCCTGGGTACAGAAATGCGGTTGGACATTTTTAGTACACATACTTAATACCAAATGAATAACAAATTGTACCATTCGAGTATCTTACCATGTATCTTTGAAGCGGGGCTCTCTGTAGTTGTGTGTCGTCCCTAGTGACAACGTCGTACACATCTTCGATCACATCTTCCTTGTCGTCCTCGTCAATCGCCTCCTCAGTGTACAGGGGCTTGATATGTGTCCTCGTAGACCTGTGAAGCCACCACAGGTACTCGTCGAAGGTGTGCTGGTCGTGTGGGGGACCCGCATCGACCTGCTGCCGGTCCCCGTTCTGCCACAACTAGATGTATGCGTTGTGTGTCACGCGCCAATCCTTGGTCTTGCACCTCTTCCTACGGTCATACCTGCAACAAAGCGATTGTTAGTTGTACCATACACACCTCTGAATTATAGCTTTGTTATTAATCGATAACGCACCCGTGTAATTTTTGGTTGGTGGAGTAAAGCGGTGGTGGGTAGCCTACCATTCTTCCAAACTGCCTGCAAATCCTGATGGGCAAGTGAATCTCGACCATGTGGAAGAAAATAAGAGGGACGTTGTAGCGATACTCGTCTGACTCATCCCTAGTGACATGACTCAGATAGTACTCGAGCTCCGGAGCATCCCAAGGACACCAATGCACCTGAACATTTCGTAATTGAGTTAGGTTGTGATATAGTGTACATCGAACAAGACACATGTACGATAGTAAAGAGAGCGTAACCTGGTGCTGTGTTAGGACGTCGAGACCGTCCGTGTACTCCCTGTACTTGCGCCTCGCATTCCCTCTAACTAACTCTGCTTGCGTCCAGATATACAGAGCTGTAGGAAGTGTATCCTGCCCGTTCCAATGCTGCATTGAACACGATAATGAATTAGCCATTAATAATTTAATCATATGTAACTATCTCGAACAATATAGTAAACCGAAGTATTTACCGGTAAACCAATAGCAAGGGGCCTCCCAATGGGCCATCATTCCCAATACCAAACCTGGAGTAGGTAGTAGCAACCCCCAAGGTTCGCATACCCTGAGGTGCGACGGCGGGCAACACATAGCTGTCAATACGTCCATGCCAGGACTACGTTGCTCCAGCTGTACGCCGCTATGTTATTCCACAACTGGCATAGTATGTCAAGAAAGATCCAGCTGATGGTGTTGCCCGAGGCGTCTGGGAATAGGAAAGCACCAAGAAAGTGCCAGAGCCACACTCTAGCGAACCTATCGATCTGAGCCTCATCAGCCTATGGGTCCAAGTAATTAAAGCGCTCTGTGATCCACGACGACGAAACACTGGAATTTTTCCTAAAATTCACCAAAGAAAATGAGACCCGATGGCTGTAGAAAAGCAATGCAAATATTAAATATGCTTGAATTGCTCACTTATTTTTCTTGGAAACCTTGTCGTCCGGTGGAAGAAAGCCAGTGAACTGAGCCACCAGCTTTCTCCAGTGATCGTTGTCAACTATACCTATCATTGGAAGTCTTCTCCAACCGAAGGCCAAAGATAGCCTTCACGTTCTATATGGTCAAGGTCATCTCGCCGCAAGGTAGGTGGAACGTGTGGGTCTCAGGTCTCCACTTGTTATAAGAATAGAATGACTGTTAATTGCCTCAAATTTGTTATAAGAATGTTTACGTACAATGAAGGCACTCGCCTCACACCTGTCTACAGCTGCAGTAAGTAGTGCTGGGTCAAGGGATGGAAGACCGTAGTTGACAACATGGACAAGTTCGAGGAAGCCGGCATGCCGTATGTACGGCGCGTAACGCTCGTCCCACTAGTGCACCCTGGTGTGCGTGCGGGGCCTCAAAAGAGGTAAGGGCACCTCTACGTCGGTGTCACTCAAGAAGTGTGCTCGGTACGGCTCATCATACTCCACCTCAAGAAGGGGTACAACGGATGCTGCGTAGGAGAGGCCATCCTGTTATAAATTGATAAACAAAAGGTTAGAGTATTCAAATTAACGATATTCAAATTAACATTATGCAGCATTGTAAAATTTGAACTACTTGTTATGCAATAGGAACACAATATGAAAGCACATGTATATATTCAAAGTAACATTAATAGACATATTAAACAACTTCACTAGGAAAATAAACAACTTCTATGTATGGACCTGCTATCCACCAGTGTTTCTGTGAGAAATATGAGATAGCTTGGATAGTCATAATTTTACCTCCTTGGTCACTAAGTTTTATGATTTGTGTATGCTGATAACGGTACGATATCGACAATGTTGTGCATGATTTTGGAGGTTCTAGTGCTTTCAATATATGCTTGAGTAAAATGATCATTTGGATTAATGTTTCCATATAATAAAACAAGCATATAACAATTTAAATCATAAAAACTCAACCAACCAAATTTGTCGCTATATATATGTATGTCTAGTGCACAAAAAACACATAAATAGATTTATATTTCACGTGTCTTTTAATTAGTCATTTGTTTTCGCTATAATTAATAATACGCTGTAAGAAAATTAACAATTAAAGTATATAAATAATAATATAATGTAAGATAAATTAACAGCTAATATTTTAAAAGAATCTCTCAATCTAATGGCTAACGATTAATATAAAGGGGTGGTGAAGGTATGAGGGTTTTGATTATGAAGAAATATAGACCAAATTTCACCTTAGCGAGGGTTGAACTGCAGTGATGGCGTTCGTGGCGCAGCAGGCAGCCGGTGTGCGTGGCCGGAGGGCGCGGTGGGCGGCCGGAGGGGGTGGCGCGCCTTCGTTCATGGCGGCGGCGGCGGCCGGCGTGGCGGGCAGGCAGGAGGGAGGGCGGGCGGCTCGCGGGCAGGCGGGAGGGAGGGTGGCTCGCGGGCGATATTTACCTGGTCCTGCCACGCTGTGAGCCTTGGCGCGTCACTGTCGCGCAAGATTGGTGGCGCGACAGACCCTGCCACGTTACCGGTCAGCGCCATGTCACCCCTCTCGCCGCGCCACCATGTATGGCGCGGCATAGGCGTTTCGCCACGCCATGGCAATAGGCACGGCCAAAAGTGTTAGTTTTTGAGAAAAAACAGTGTTAGATTTAAAATTAGTTTAAAAAAATGTTAAAAATAAAATAAAATCTCAGAAAACACGAGGCGACAGCAGAGCGGGCTCGCTCAACCGACAAGAGAGGGAGGGAGAGGCAATCACCCCACCAATCAGGCAGAGGCAGAGGCAGAGGCAGGTACAACCCGACAAAGAAAACAAGCCAACGGCAACAACAGAAAACCCAAGACCAAAGAGAAGACCTCCCCAAGCCAGCAGGCAACAGCGCAGAGTACTCCTATTAGTGCGCACCAATCACGACGCGAATCCCCCAGAACACGAGGCGGAATTTCCCATCCCGTCCTCCACCTCGGGTCCTCTTCCTCCCCCGCTTCTCGTCGCCGTGTCCGCACCGCGTCCACACGCTCCGGCTCCGTCCGAATCCGCCCGCGTCCGCGGACCCAGATCCGGCGCCTCGCGACCATGGCGACGCGCAGGCGAATGCTCCTCAAGGTCATCATCCTCGGCGACAGCGGGTGCGGCAGGCTCCCTCTCCCTTCCCCTTCCCCTTCCCCTTCCCCTTTCCTTTCCATTCCACGCCCATTTTTTCTGTCTGTCTGTTCGTTTGCTCATTTGATTGCTTGCGCCCGCGTTTGCTCGCAGGGTCGGCAAGACCTCGCTGATGAACCAGTAAGTCCGCCCCTGTCCGATCCCTCGATTTCACTTTACTTCGTTGTTGCGATGGTTCATCGGGGACCGATTTCTCGGTTTGGTGCGCGCAGGTACGTCAACAGCAAGTTCAGTAACCAGTACAAGGCCACCATCGGCGCGGATTTCCTCACCAAGGAGGTCCAGATCGACGACCGCCTCTTCACATTGCAGGTCTGCTTGCTTCGTCTTCTTACAGTTACAGCACCATTCATTTAGGTTTCTCTTCACTTGCCTTGCCTGGGGTTATCTATCTGGGATCTACTGTGAACCCCATGCCGGATTAGATTGGGGCGTCTGCTCCTGTGCGCCTCCAATGTGGTTGCACTGCCAGATTCTGAAGGGTCGGTTCAGTTTCGGACTTTGGGTCCTGACATCCTGTGCTCCTCTTTCTAGATGAGGCTTGTTCACCATCCGACTAGCTAGCTGTGCTCAGAGTCTGAATCAACTATCACCTTCATTTGCCTAACACTTTGACAAGGCGGCTGCACTGGCTGCTTAGATCGTACGGCAACATTCATTATTTAATTGTTATTTAGTGCCGTGTGCTTCTTCACTATCGTGTGGGTTGCTTATTGGAGATGCTGAGTGGCTGAAGGATATTTTGGGGTTGTGCCCAGTAATTCCCTTTCAAGACTTTTGACTTTTGAGAGATGAAGTTTTACTAATTACGCCCTGTTTAGTTGGACCCCAAAGTCCAAAAAGTTGCTACAGTACCTGTTACATCGAATGTTTGCGGCTCATGCATGGAGCATTAAATGTAGACGAAAATAAAAACTAATTGCACAGTTTGGTGGGAAATTGCGAGACGAACGTTTTGAGCCTAATTAGTCCATGTTTGAACACTATTTGCCAAATAAAAACGAACGTGCTACAGTAGCCCTAAAATCCAAATTCACCCAACTAAACAAGGGCTTAATATTATGCCGCTTTCTGCTTTTTGCACATCACCCTGTCAAATGCCTTATGTTGCTCCTTTTCACATGTTTGTGTCTGTCACTCTATTGAATTTGTTTGCTACTTAAAATCATTAATCCCCAGTTCCTTAAAAAGCTGTTTTCCTTTCATTATTTCCATTTCGGCACAACCCAAATTTCATGGGTTAGCCAAGATATTTTTAGATTTGTCTTGCTCATAATGAATGATGCTGTGGAGAGGTGCTATATGACTATCATGTTCTTTGCAGTACTTACTATGTCAATCATTAGAGGCCATTAGTCATCATGTTTTGTTCCTTTAAAAAGAGATGTAACCAAAGAGGAAATGACAGGGGCTATTATGTCCATAATTTTATTTTGCCATTTATCAATTATGATTTCCCTTATCCAAATGAGGGATATGTTTCATTAGTCTTTTGCTTATTATTATATGTATCATTAAATAAAAAAAAGGGCGTACTACCAAAGGCAGAGAGCTCCCGCCTGTGGGGGTCTGGGAAAGGTGTTAGTGGCAAGCCCTTACCTCGCTGTGCAATGCGAGTAGACCATGACTCGACACAGGACCTTCCGGTCCACAAAGTGTAAGACTCTACCGCTTGCACCAGGCCCGCCTTCTTGTATCATTAAATAAAATAGTTTTTTTTGGGAGCCATGTGGTGTACAACAACAACAACAAAGTCTGTCAGTCCCAAACAAGTTGGGGTAGGCTAGAGTTGAAACCCACCAAGAGCCTCTAGTCACGGTTCAGGCACATCAATAGCTGCTTTCCAAGCACTCCTATTCAAACATAGATCTCTAGGTATATCCCAAGCTTTCAAATATCTTTTTATTACCTCCTCCCATGTCAATTTCGGTCTACCTCTACCTCTTCTCACATTATTAACTTAGCTTAGGACTCCACAATGCACCGGTGGCTCTCTGATGTATTTGAATAAAATAGAATTTTGGTTCAACTGAGCACATACCTGCCTTCGTTTTTATCACGATTGACTTGATAGCTGTTACGCCACAGGTACTACTTCAATCATGGGTAGCAATCGGCCTGTTTGCTTGATCGCTTCGTGGCTTATAAGTCGGCTGATGCTGTTTTATTATGAGAGAAAACACGTATCATGGCTGATAAGCATGGCTGATACAATCAAGCAAACAGGGTGAATGTTTTATATGCAACTACTGTTTATGAAACGGACGCTACCCTTTCCTTTTCATTTGAATGGGACCTAATACTTGTAATCTGTTTCTTAGTGTGATGGAATCAGTAACCATTCGCATTTTAGCTTACCACAGTTTTGTTTCACTGAAGCTTAGATATGGGATACGGCAGGACAGGAGCGGTTTCAAAGTCTTGGTGTGGCATTTTATCGGGGAGCTGACTGCTGTGTTCTCGTATACGACGTGAATGTTACTAAGTCATTTGAAAAGCTCAACAACTGGCGTGAGGAATTCTTAATTCAAGTAAGCAACCTTCTTATTAGCGATCTATATGTATGTCACTGTGTTTGCAAAAAAAAAAAAAAGACTCACTGGTCATTATGCAGGCTAGCCCATCAGATCCAGAGAATTTCCCATTTGTTGTGCTTGGGAACAAGATTGACGTTGATGGTGGTAACAGCCGGACAGTGAGTATTTCTCGTCACAAGTTGTTATCCACTGGATTTATTCTGTACCGTTGTTAATTTTCTTTGATTTTCACTTTTCAGGTTTCTGAGAAAAAGGCTAAAGCATGGTGTGCTTCAAAGGGAAACATCCCCTACTTTGAGACGTCGGCTAAAGAGGGCTTCAATGTAGAGGCTGCTTTTGAGTGTATAGCGAGGAATGCTGTCAAAAATGAGCCAGAAGAAGATATGTAAGTTTGAATAGTATAACTCAGATATATATTATACATACAGGCAGCCTTGTGGTGTAACTTGGTTCTACGTTTTACCAACTTTTGTAGGTATCTTCCTGATACGATTGATGTTGGGGGCGCTGGAAGGCAACAACGTTCGTCAGGTTGTGAATGCTAGAAGATATGGAGCACGGCGATTTGCTCGGTTGGTTGGTTTGATTCTCTAGGGCTTGTTGTTTGGGTTGCCTGTCTCTTATCATATATATATTTAGTTTGCAAAACTGCTATTTGTGGATACTGGATAGTCTGGCAGTCTGCATGCGGGTGCTTATTGTCGACTCCCCTATGTAGATGCAGAGAATTCATTTGTTACTGCTGTTTCAGTGTTGTATCGGCGCTAGATGCTAGTGTTGTAATGCTTTTGATTGTTGATGAATTGCATATATGTATGTTTTGGTTAGTATTGCTGTAAATGAACTGAACATAGTGCCCATTTTGATAGTGTTGGTTCGTTGGTTTGACAGAGTTCTAATGCTCACTTTTATCGCACCGCCGGCGCCATCTAACAGCAGCAGTGAGGCAACCCGTGCTCATTTTCCACGAGCCAAAATTTCCACCACCTCATCGAATCATCCATACCATACGTCTCATTGGACCATACGTGAGAGCACTAGTGCAAACATGGACTACAATTATCTTGCTCGGTTCTCAATGGACCATCCATCCTTACCATACGTGAGAGCACTGGTGCAAACATGGACGTGTCACCGTTCCGTAGCCACAGGGCCTTCCTATCCTGGGACACCTGCCTCTTCTGGGCCCCTGCCGCACCGGAAGCTGTGGGCGATGGCGCAGGCGCACGGCCCGGTGATGCTCCTCGGCGGTGGCCCCACGGTGGTGGCCTCGTCGGCGGCCGCGGCACAGGAGGTGATGAAGACCCGCGACCTGGCGTTCGCGAGCCGCCCCAGGATACTCATGGCCGAGCGCCTCGTCTACGGCCGTGACGTGGCCTTCGTCCCCTACGGCGAGCACTGGCGCCAGGGCCGCTGCGTCTGCGTGCTACACCTCCTCAGCCAGCGCCGCGTCACCTCCTTCCGCCACGCCCGGCAGCAGGAGGTCGCCACGATGCTCGCACGCGTACGCTCCGCCGGACGCGACGGCGCCGTCAACCTCACCGCCCAAATCATCTCCTACACCAACGGCATCATCTCCAACGCCGCGTTCGGCGGCAGAGGAGGGAGCTGTTAGCCACAGGATCACCGGCTCAAGCGAGTTGACCACTTACCAGTCTTGCCGAGCACCCGTTAGTGTTGCCGAGCACCCACTAGCTAAACCGACCACGAACAAATGTTGTCCGTCCCCACACACTATGGCTAGAGGTTGAAAAAGAGAGAGAACAGAGCATACACACACAGTACAAGACACCAGCGTTGGCCGAAGCCCTGCATGGGAGATGGCAAATATGAACTCTCTTTACTGAGTTGCCGTGGTAATCTATTTATACAACTCTATCCATCTAGTCCTAGTACAACGCACATGTTGCAACAGTAACTAGATAACACAGCATGACTGACTTCTGCACCTGTCCCTGCATGTGGCTACAGTCCGGCAGGTGAGCCATTCGGCGTCTGCCTCTGTAGCGGCTACAGTACTACAGCATGGGGCCTTTTCGGTGCCGCCTTCCCTTGCTGTGTGTTCACACAAGGAAGTAGTATATTATCTAACAATTCTTCCCATAATCCTACTGCTATCCCTTGTACCCCCTCCATGTCGATCATCTCCTTCCGCTCCGTGAGTCGAAGACGTTCGAGCGGCTTGGTGAGGACGTCCACAAGTTGCCGACCAGCTTCGATGAACTCGATGACGATCTGCCCTCCATCGACATAGTCTCTGAGAAAGTGGAACTTCACGTCGATGTGTTTGCTTCGGTCGTGCAGAACCGGATTCTTCGCGAGGGCGATGGCGGGCTGGTTGTCCAACATTAGTGCTGGTGGGTGAGCTTCCACGCCGGTCAGCTCGCCCAGCAGCCGGAGCAGCCACACAACTTGGCATGCCGCTGTGGCCGCCACTACGTACTCTGCCTCGCATGTAGATAGCGCCACCACCTTCTGTTTCAGCGATAACCATGAAATTAGTGCCGACCCGAGGAAGACGAGCACGCCAGAGGTGATCTATCGTCCGTCGATGTCCCCTGCCATGTCTGCATCGCTGAACACAGTGAGCTACAGCCTACTCCCGCCGGTCTTGGGGAAGATGATCCCCTGATCCACCGTCCCCTTAACGTAGCGCAGTAGCCGCTTCACCGCAGCCCAGTGATCCTCCCTGGAATCCTCCATGAAGCGACTGACATAGCCCATGTCGAACGTAATGTTCGGCCTCGTGTGGACTAGGTAGCACACACCGCCGACGATGCTCTAGTAGAGTGTTGCATCCACCTTCGTCGCGGTACTGGCCTTTGTCAGCTTCAGCTGCTTCTCCATCGGAGCCACACATGGCTTGCACTCAGCCATGCCGCTCCGCTCCAACAGCTTGGAGGCATACGTGCTCTGACCGAGCGTGAGTTTCTCCTTCTCCTGTCTCACCTCGATCCCGAGGTAGTAGGAGAGTGCGCCGAGATCACTCATTCAAAAACGAGTTGCCATCTCGCGCTTGAAGCCGTTGATGTCCTCCATGCGTGCGTCGGTGACGATCAAGTCATCCACATACACGCCGACGACGAGCTCCTTCTTCCCCCATCACCGCGTGTATATCGTGTGCTCGGTTGCGAACCGCTGAAACCCAAGCTCGCCCAGCATGGCGTCAAGCTTGGCGTTCCATGCTTATAGGGCCTGCCGTAGCCCGTAGAGCGCCTTGCGCAGTCGGAGCACCCTGTGCTCCTCTCCCTTGATGGCGAAACCTGGAGGTTGCCTGACGAAGACCGTCTCCACAAGCTCGCCGTTGAGGAAGGTCGATTTAATGTCCAGGTGATGGACGCGCCAGTCCTTTGGTGCTGCCAAGGTTAGTAGCAAACGGACCGACTCCATGCGCGCTACTGGCGTAAAGACCTCCTCGAAGTCTATGCCCTCATGCTGAACAAAGTCTCAGGCGACGAGGCACGCCTTGTGCTTGACAATGGCGCCGAGCTCATCCCGCTTGACCTTGTACACCCACTTCAGGCTGATCGGACGGCATCCTGGAGGTGGATCGACGAGCTGCCATGTCTTGTTTTCCTCGATCGCCTTCATCTCCTCCAGCATCGCTCGTCACCAGTTTCTATCGCGCTCGGCAAGCGCGAATGCGGGTGGTTCCTCAGCACTAACGAGCAGCAGCTCTTGATCATTGAGTAGCCGACCAGCCAGGCCTGAGGGCCCTGTGCCGTCGACGATGTCGTCTAGCCTACGGAACCACACCTCCTCACCTTCGTGGAAGGCATCCACGAATTCAGTGATGTCATCTGGAGGTGAGGTGAACTCAATCAGTGTTGATGGAGTTCCCTGTTCCGTTGGAGTGCTCGGCACAACACCTGGAGTGCTCAGCACTACTTCTAGACAGCTCGTCACTACTCTTGTAGTGCTCGGCACCACTGTAGGAGTGCTCAGCCTCAGTCTTGGAGTGATTGGCACCACTGCAAGACCTCTTGGCTCCGCTATAGGAGTGCTCGGCACCCGTCCTGGAGTGGTCGCCACCACTGCAGAACCTCTCGACGCCACTCCTGGCGTGCTCGGCATCCTTCCTGGAGTGCTCGGCACTCCTTCCGTAGTGCTCGGCATCTCTCCCGAAGTGCTCGACACTGCCCCAGGAGTGCTCGGCTCTACCGCTGGAGTGCTCGGCACTCCTCCCGGAGTGCTCGGCACCTCTTCCCCAGCGTCTCCAAAACCGTGGATGACTAGGTGCTCGACGACGAAGGTGCTGTTGAAGGCGCCAGCTTCCCCCGTGCTTGGACTGTTCCAGTCCCAAGCCGCCTTCTCATCAAACATGATGTCGCGCGAGACAAGCACCTTGTCTCCTCGTGGGTCATAGAGCTGGTACGCCTTGGTACCCTCCGCGTAGCCTAGGAACACCATCGGTGTGCTCCTATCCTCCAGCTTGGTGAGGATCAGCTTTGTCTTCCTGACGTGGCCGATGCAGCCAAATGTCCAAAGGAAGGACATGCTCGGCTTGAGCGCATACCAAGCTTCGAATGGCGTCTTGCCCATCAGGGACTTGGTCGGAGCGTGGTTGAGGATGAACACCGTTGTGTTCACCGCCTCACCCTAGAACCTTGCCGGCATGCCTTTGGCCTTCATCATGGATCGAGCCATGCCGACCACCGTATGGTTCTGCCTCTCCACCACGCCATTCTGTTGTGGCGAGTACGGCACGGTGTGGTGGCGCACCACACCTTGATCCGCGCAGTATGCAGCGAACTCCACCGAAGTGAATTTGCCACCGTGATCAGTCCTCAGCGTATAGAGTTTCTTGCCGCTCTCGGCCTCCACGTGTGTCTTGAACTTCTTGATCGCTGCCACCGCTTTGTCCTTGCTCGTTAGGAGTTGCAGCCACATGTAGCGACTACAATCATCCATGAGCAGGAGGAAGTACCGCCGACCACCGTTTGTAGCTAGCATGATTGGCCCGCAGAGGTCGCTATGGACGAGCTCGAGAGCATCCTTCGCGCGATACTTGTCCGCCTTTGGGAATGGTAGCCTCCTCTACTTCCTGGCTAGGCAGCTATCACATAGCTCGCCTCCGTGCTTGATGTGGGGTAGCCCTCAGACCATCTTCTCCAGCCGACCAAGCTCGTCAAAGCTGAGATGTCTGAACCGGGCATGCCACATCCATGGTTCCTCGGTGTGCCTTGCCGCCAGGCACACCAGCTGCTCTACCTTCAGGTTGAGCATGTACAACCGGTTCAGGGACCTCTTCACCTTGGCGAGAAGTCGCTGCTCCTGGTCCCTGATCCTAAGGACTCCATCCTTGATCAGTACCTCGCTACCACGCTCATCCAGCTGACCAATGCTGATGATGCTGGAACGCACCTGCAGGATATAATATATATTCGTTAACACGTGGTGCTCCCCGTTCTGACACCTAAAGATGATGGTGCTACGTCCTTGGATTGCCACCCTTGAGCCGTCACCAAACTTCACCGTACCGGTAATATCGTCGTCGAGCTCGGAGAAGGATGCTTTGGAGCCTGTCATGTGGTTGCTGGCACCAGAGTCCAGATACCACCGCTGCTCCTGGTCAGCACCCACACGTCCGAGGTAGACTTGGGCGCGTGGTTCGTCAAGGTTGACAGTCTTTAGGGCCTTCCCAGATCCTTCCACCGTCGTCGCCTCTTCCTTCTCGGCCTCGACGTCGTGCAGTGCACAGAACATCGCCATCAGGATAGTGGCCTCATCATCATCATCAGCTTGCGCCAGATGAGCCTCAGCCTTCTTCTCCTGCTTGCGATTTGGGCACTCCCATGCCTAATGGCCTGTCTTTCCGCAGCGCCTGCAGGCGTTGGGGTCGACTTGCTTCTTCTTCTCCGAAGAAGCCCTGCCGCGGCGCTTGCCATCTCCACCGTGGCTGGAGGAGGCTGCCTTCTCGGAGTTCCTCCGAGCAGCCCACTTCTCTTCCGTCAGCAGCAGTTTGCCGTTGTCCTTCGTTGCTGTGGCCTGCTCCGGGCGCTTGTCCACCGCCCGCAGACGGCCTGTCACATCCTCAATGGTGAGGGTAGACAAGTCCAGCATCGTCTCTATGGAGAGAGCGATCTAGATGTACTTTGTTGGCACGGAGTGGAGGTACTTGGAGACCGCCTCCTCTTCGTCGATGGTGACGCCATGACTCTTCAGCTTGCTAATGAGTATCTGCAGGCGGAGGGAGAAGTCCTCCACCGTTTCACCATTCTTGAACTTGAGGTTGGCGTACTCCTGCTTCAGAAGTTGGGCCGTCGCCTTCTTTGCGCAGTCGGAACCAACGCACATCCCTACAATAGCCTCCCACGCCTCCTTAGCAGAGTTCTTCGTGCCCAACGGCTCCCTGTACTCCACCGGTACAACAACGAAAATAGCCTCCAATGCTGACATGTCATCTTCCTCATTATCAGTGCCCTTGTCAACAGCATTCCAGAGCCGTCGTGCTCTGAGCTTGACCTTTATGGTCACCGACCACTCTCCATAGTTGGTGCAAGTCAGCGTTGGCCAACTGGTGCCGCTGACCTCCTGCACCATGCGAACAACGACATCTGGTTGTGGCTAGGCAGCCACAACAGTGCCACTGCTGTCGCCCATTTCTGAACCATTCGTCATTGCCAGCGGTTAGTCCGGCAACGGTGTCATACGGCTCTGATGCCACTTGTTAGCCCATAGGATCACAAGCTCAGGCGAGTTGACCATTCACCAGTCTTGCTGAGCACCCGCTAGTGTTGCCGAACACCCACTAGCTAAGCCGACCACAAACAAGCGTTGTCCGTCCTCACACACTATGGCTAGAGGTTGAAGAAGAGGAAGAACATAGCATACATACACAGTACAAGACAACAGCGTTGGCCGAAGCCCTGTATGAAAGATGGCAAATCTGAACTCTCTTTACTGAGTTGTCGTGGTAGTCTATTTATACAACTCTATCCATCTAGTCCTAGTATAGCGCACATGCTACAACATTAACTAGATAACATAGCAGGACTGACTTCTGTGTCTATTCCTACATATGGCTATAGTCTGGTAGGTGAGTCATTCGACGTCTGTCTCTACAGCGACTACAGTACCACAATAAAGAGCCTTTTTAACAACATATTCCCTTACTATATGTTATATGTTCAGACAAAGAAGCGGTAGATTATCTATCAGGAGCTACTACGACGGGCCCGATGGCGGCGAGAAGCTCACGAAGCTGTTCGCCGACTTCGAGGGGCTCCTGGGGACGATCACCATGGGGGACTTCGTGCCCTGGCTGGCGTGGGTCGACGCGCTCATGGGGCTAGACGACAAGGCCACGCGCACGTCCGCGGAGATGGACGCCTTCCTTGAGCGTTTCATCGTGGACCACTGCCAGAGGCGCCGTGGCGGCCACCGTGACGGCGATGATCACCGGGACTTCATCGAAGTGCTGTTGGACGTGAACGAGGACGAGGCGGACGGTGGTGGGGCCAAGTTTGACGACGTGGCCATCAAGGCCATCATCCTGGTACGAACTACGAAGTTACGAACCATGTACTATTTGTTCGGCTCAATCTTTGCTACGTACGCACATTTTTTTTGTGAACCCTATGACACGTATTTACGTACGCACATTATTATTATTATTATTATTATTATTATTATTATTATTATTATTATTATTATTATTATTATTATTATTATTTATACACGCAGGACATGTTTGTCGCCGCCACGGACACGATCTACACGATGCTGGTATGGGCCATGGTCGACCTCATCAACCACCCACATGAGATGGCCGCATTACCGAGGACCACCTCGAGAAGCTACGCTACCTCAGGTGCGTCATCAAGGAGACGCTCTGGCTGCGCACGCCGTTGCCGCTCCTGCTGCCCCGTGAGACGACCGTGGACACTGAGCTGCTTGGCTACCACGTCCCAGCGCGCACCCGTGTCATCGTCAATGCGTGGGCCATCGCGCGGGATCCCGCGACGTGGGAGCACGCCGACGAATTCATGCCAGAGCGGTTCATCGGTGACGACCTCACGGCGGACTACTTGCTCGGGTAGGACTTTAGGTTCGTGCCGTTCGGCGCCGGGAGCAGAGGGTGCCCTGGGGCGGGGTTCTCTGTGCCGACCATGGAGCTGGCGCTGGCGAGCTTGCTGTATCACTTTGACTGGGAACTGCCGGCGGGAGGGGCATCGTAGCTGGAGATGGACGAGCTGAACGGGGCGGCTCAAGGCGAACCTGTGTTTGGTTGCTAAGCCATGGTGTCGTCAGTAAGATCATCATGCATGTCTTTGTTGGTAGTGGGATTAAAACATACGTGGGTGATTTTGGTTGCATTGTGTAGTCATAGTATCATGTACGCACCTCAAAGTGAATAATTGTACAACATCTAGATGCAAGTTTATGATGGGTTTTTAGAATGTTTTTATTTCCTAGATTCAAGTTTATGATGGTCCTTTAGAATGTTTCCGTTTCCTATATGGTTTCGAACCCTCAAGTCTTGTTGCGAAAGCAGGGGAATAGAGAAATGGCGATGGAATGAGGAGCACAATCGTCAGCCCGACTCGTAGCCCAACCCTAGGAGCCCCTGGCCCCTCCACCGCCGCCGCCGGCGCCGGCCACCGCCCCGGCGCCGGCGTCCGGACCCCTCTCGCCCTCCTCTCCCCTCGTTGCTTCCCCTTCCCCTCCTCGCCCCTGCGCGGGAGTGCGCCTGGATGTGCGCGCGGCAGGGACGCCGCCGCCGCCTGCGTTTGCCGCTGGCGGGCCTCCTCCACCGCCGGGGGCCGGTGCCGCAGCCATTTTCTCCCTGCAGCCGCTCATGGGGGCTGGATCTGACGCCCCATGGCCATTTGCCCCTCCTCGCACAGAAGTCGCGTCCGCGTCGGGCTGCATCGCCGACGCCCCCGCCCCCCAGTCGTCGGGGCTGGCTGATGCCGGTCGCCTGCACCTCCGCACGGGGGAGCACGCGGCTCAGTCACCGCCACCGCCCACGGCGGGCCTCTCCACCGGTGTCGCCCAGCAGGATGCCGCCGCCGCCCGGGGCATTGTGAACAACCAGCGGCCGGGTCCACGCTGTCTGGGACCAAGTTCGGAACTTTTGGGCCTGTCGCGGGCTTGCGGCGATGCTGGACATCCCTAGCTCCTCCGATGTCTCACCGGCGGCGGCCCCATTCTACCCAGGTTGCACTTCGGGAGGACGCACGAAGCATCGTCGGTGGGTGGACGCTGATGATGATAGGACTCCAACGACGACCTCCCAAAAACCTATCTGGATGCTGTTCGTCGCCCGGCCAAGCCGATAGCTGCGTCCCCGCCGTGCGCCCAAAATCGTTCAGCCGTGGTTATGAGTTGTCGCGGTGGGCGGCAAGGGCCTGGACGAAGGCGGAGGAAGCGCATGGCCGGCGCGTCCCCTAGCGATGTGTGGTCGCTGCTTTCGGCGGTGGATGGCGCATCCATCCTCGTTTCGCTAACGCCGCCGCCCGCGGTCGGGTTTCTGCCCCTGACGCCAATGGGTGGCGGGAGATTCTCCAACGACAGGAGACACGACCGGCGGCTGCCTCGGTTGAGAAGCAGCTTCCGCCGACCCAGAAGATCCCCGTGGAGCTTCATGGCAGATGTTTCAACTGCCTTTCCTACTCACATCGAGTAGCGACTTGTCGGTTGCCACGACGTTGTTTGCGCTTCCACGGGTTCCGCCACCTCGCCAGGGAATGCAAGCAACTCAGACATGCAGCGACGTCGGCGACAAAGGGTGATGACCGGACACGCCACTCCGCCCGCGGCAGGAACTTACGGGGCTCCCAACTTGCGCCACACAGCGGCTCGGATGGGGCCGTGCAGGCTGCCGTGAGGGGCACCGGTGGAACTCGACGATGACAATGGCAACGCTGGAGTCAGCCATCGGGGGACATCAGTTTGGGCGCACTTGATGACTGCGCCGCTGCTGCACTGTGCTCCCCGGACCAGATCCACTGGTGTTGGAGCTGTGTGCGAGTTCGGAGACTCCCGCGTGGGTTGACCCTATGCTGGAGGAGCTCTCCGCCTCGCTCGTCGTGAGCCTAGCAGGAGCACCAGTGTCTAGGAGCCCGTCGGGATCGGCTACAGCTCTCAGGATGCAGACGCATCCCGGGTGGACACTCCAGCGAGGGCTATGAAGTGGACGTCGGTCTCGCCTCCGACATCGCCAGTGATGGAGCCGCCACAATTCACGTCGCCAGTCAAGACGCGCCCTGACCCAGCGCTGGTCGGGGCAGCCACCCCGGGCGATGCGATGGTGGTGACTACCATGGATGATGTCAACCGCACTCCATCCCCGACCTCTACCGATGGACGCCTCAAGCGCTTCACTGAGCGAATCACAAAGCCAAGGCCGCCACCACTTCTAGAGCTGCCTGATGTCACGGCCCATGGCGGACGTACACCGCCCGTACTCCCCAAGAGGAGTAGGCGGATAGCGGCACAGAGCTTATCACATATCCTAGCATCCAAACGAGGTGAGCACCTTGTCTTGAAGCACCTAGGACTATCCAGTGGGATGGCATGTCCTTCGACCTCGGCTCTGAAGGCGTACGATGAAGTCTTCGGTGGGAACCCTGGTAATATGCAGGCGCTACGCGAGTTGTTCCCACCGGACGGTGACGTGGGTCCGCGCAAGCAGCGTCGCCGCCACTCGATAGCCCGAGCATATCCTCCTCACCGACGGCGCAATTCGAGTTGATCAATGCCCAATGTAACAGCATAGCTTTCAATACACTAGGGAGGGTCCGAGCGTTTTTATATATCTATTCTGACCACCTAGGGCGCCGTTAAGGCGTGTTGTATTGAACTTTTTCTCTATCTTAATACAAAGACATGCAAACCTTTTACGTGATAGAGAAAAAAACCCTCAAGTATTGTTTGGATGTCCATGTATCCACCTCAATCCATGTGTTGCGAATCGAGTTGTTCTCCCGCAACCACCTTTGAAGACTCGGCGGCTCTCGCCGTTGTTCCTAGCGTCTCCGTCGACTCACCCGTCGTGGTCACCAACCGCTCTCCACCTCCAACTCCATCAGCAGCGGTGGTCGAATCCTCCACAAACCGACAAGCGTCCCGAGACTCTAGGACAGAGTCTGTCCGCAATGTCTCCGCGCTATGAATAGCCCTCGGCTGCTCGCTAGTCTAGCCTAAAGGAATCAGATCCTCCGCGCGCCCCGTTCTACATCAGATTAGCTCATTGGTCACCGCAACTATAAAAATCGGATAGCTACCGATCCCAAGGCAAAGATACTTACACATTAGCTTCCCGATAAATGGTTCTGAACCGGCGCTGCCTCCCTGAGCACCCAGGCACTACTCTGGGGTCACCTTGAGTGTCCTAGGCTAGATGTCTTACGGACCCTGTCGTCGGTGTCTTCTTCACCTGCTGCTCGGGGACTCCTTCCCCTCCCTTCGATTGCATCTCCGCGCGCGTGTTGCACGATGACGCTTCAGTGCTCGAAGGGGGGGCTACTAGGGCCTCGTCGTCATCCGACCACTCGGATTTCACCGCATTCTGCGTCCGAGTGGTCTGATCGCCACCAAGTGAGATGTCACCCGGCTTGCGAGGAGCTACATCCGCCGTTCTTCTTTTCTTTCAGCTCGGCTCATCTCTCGCCGCCCTTTTCCCCTGAACTTTCTTCGATACCGGGGGGGGACTCTCCTTCTGACTAGCAGCTTCGCCTCCGGATTTAGACGAGGCGCTGACGGCAACTTCCTTCGGCTGAGTGGTCGGCCTAGCATCCACTGCTTTTGGCCAATCATTCCTCGGCATGCCCGAGAAGTACGCCACCCGTTCCTACCAATGGATCATTCAACAAGCGAATCAGTCCACTGCTCAGCGTCGGCATGGGAAAAAAGCACAAGGAACAACAGTCGAGATTTTTACCTGAGGAAGTGGGTTCGTGCAGTTGAAGGGTTTTGGCTGCCCCTGCACGGTGTACGACATGTTTGGAGCGAATAGCTCAGCGGCCCGGTGCAGCATAGCCTCCTTCGCCAGGTTCTCCGTCCTCTCCCGGGTGCCGTCGGTATCTCCCTTGAAGTCAAAGCCCGCGTAGGCCCTCTCCTTGCAGGTGAAAGGACCTAGGATGCCGCCTAGAGGGGGGGGGTGAATAGGCGTTTCTGAAAATTAACACCTTTAAATGCGGAAACGATTAGTAAAGAGAGTTTCCAAAATAGAAACTCCAAATAAAGAGTACTACCACCCCTCACAAGTTAGCCACAGAGTATATAAAAGATACTAAATGAATCTAGGAGCCAAACGCCTGCAACCAAAGAGTTAGAACACAATACAATTCAGTTTGGCGTAGGGGCTAATACCGGACGTGTCCGGTAGGTATACCGGACGAGTCCGTTATTCACGACTTTAGTGGAACAGCCCCGAACTTGCTCCTTTTGATTTCTATCTTCAATCCAAACTGCAGGAAACTATTAGAGATAGTAATATACACAGAGAACCTACAGAATAGCTAGAGCAACACAAATATCAAATGAAATGCG